CCTCCTCTGGAGCGTGGGGACCGGCGGGAGGCCGGGGTGCTTGCTCTCTCGTCTGACGCGCCCCCGTGTCCCCGGCAGGTGAACAAGCCCTATGGGAAAGTCCAGATCCACACGGCCGACATCTCTGAGATCCCCAAGTGCAACTGTAAGCCCACCGACGAGAACCCCTGCGGCTTCGACTCGGAGTGTCTGAACCGGATGCTGATGTTCGAGTGCCACCCGCAGGTGTGCCCCGCGGGCGAGTACTGCCAGAATCAGTGCTTCACCAAGCGCCAGTACCCCGAGACCAAGATCATCAAGACTGACGGCAAAGGGTGGGGCCTGGTCGCCAAGCGGGACATCAGAAAGGTGTGTGCCGAGCCCCTTTCCTTGCTTGCAAGAAATCCTGGGCCGGCTGGCGGTTTACGCTTGGATATGCTTAGTACGCTTTTGCACGCACGTAAGAACGGGGTTTTTAAAAAGTCTGAGTTACTACGGTTGAATGTCGTAAAACGTTACGTGCGTGCTGTCTAGCAAAGTAAAACTCAGCAGGCCCCTGACTTGGCCTCCACTTCGGATTTTGGTGGTTGCTCTATGACAGGAAAGACTGTGAAGGAGCCCTGCCCTGGATGGGCGGCCGTTCCGTCCGGGGCAGCGCGGGACCAGGTCGTCCGTCAAGGCCACAGGCCACACACGGCCTGCCCATGTCCTAGGCTGGGCAGCCGGAAGTAGAGAGGCAGCCGGAATTGGCTTATGAGGCCAGGCTGTGGCCTGGGGGGCGGCGGCGGCCTCAGACCCCAGGTCTGGTTCAGGGCCGATCCCGGGTGAGAGCAGCGGCTCTGAAACGCGCACGGCCCCTGAGGGTCTGGTTCCACTGCCCGCCTCGGCGGCCAGTTCCTCCGGGCTCTCGCCGTGTAGACTCTGCTAGGGAAGGCGAGCCGTGGCAGCCGGCCGTGTGGGAGCTTGGGGTGTGCCGCCAGGGTGCCCAGAGGCAGTGGCTGCAGGAAGCGAGAGTTAGGGTGCCGCTTTGGGAAGGACGCTCGGGTGAACTGTTCCCTGACAGCTGAGTATGGAGTCGTTGAGGTAGACCTGAACTTCCAGGGACTTGGGAAGACGCGCCCCGGACCGCATCGTGACGTGCGCGTGGTGCCGGCTCCGGGCGCTTCGGGCGCGGGCTCCTGCACCCGGACCCCGTTGTTCACCACGGTCACGGTCTGCTGTTCCGCCTTCCAGGGAGAGTTCGTGAATGAGTACGTCGGTGAGCTGATTGACGAGGAGGAGTGCATGGCGAGGATCAAACATGCACACGAGAACGACATCACACACTTCTACATGCTCACCATAGACAAGGTAGTGCTGCCAGCTCCCCACGGGCCGTGTGCTGCGCTGTGCCCCGGGGCCACAGGCCTGTCTGTGGTCCTGTCCGCGTGGCCCGGTCTTCAGACGTTTATGCGTTTTCTCCTGAGGGGCACGGCGTCTTCTGGCAGCTGCCTGAGGGCCTGTCTGCGTGAGGGCGTCCTGGGGCCGCGTGCGTCCGCTGGTGCGTGCACAAAGTACCAAACAGGCCGGACCGAGGGTCGGTGAAAAGAGGAGAAAAGATGAGGAGAGTTACACGTTTTCGGCCGCACAGCCCAGGTGTGCAGTTTGCAGGATACGTCGGCCAGAGGGACCGATGTCCTTGGGGCAGGGGCCACACCGCCCGTTTGCCAGTGGGGGTGAACGGAAGAAGGTGCATCCGGGACGCTCACGGGTTGGCTCCCGCCCGCCAGGACGGCCCCTCCCGGGTGTGTGCGCGGAGGGCCGCTCTGACCCCAGGGGCGGCCTCTGTGGTGCCCGAGCGCCGTGCGTGGGGAAGGCAGTCACGGGGCTCGTGTCCGCTGCTCGGCCTTGAGGCCGTCGTCCAGCAGGAGCCGGTGGCTACCGCGAAGGATGGCCGGAAACGAGGTAGAAGATGATCACGCACCAGGTTAGGATGGTCCCAGGGACCTCGCAGGGTCGTCCCCAGGGAGGCCGCGGCCCCACCACGAGGAGACGAGGCAGATGCCGCGGTCCGTGTGTGCTTCCTGCCGGGACCCTAGACCCTGGGGCTGGGATGCCGGACGGGACCCCCTGGAGACCGTGCGGGAGACCCCACTGTGGACACGGTGCCGTCCCTGACGGCTAAGTGTCTGCACAGGGAGCTCCTCGGGAGGACAGCGTTGACGTGTCCGAGGAACTCACTGGCAGAGGGTGAGGGAAGGAGCGTGTGCGCGGGCACCTCTGCGGGCTAGGTGACGAGGAGAAAGCAAACGTGTGAAAGTGTCAGTAGGCGGCGTGTCCGGGTGAGAGGTGCGGGTGTCGGCCGTAGCATTCCGTTTTTCTTCCTGTAAGTTTGAAATCGCTCAAGGTGAAGGAATTGGTTAGAAAGGTGAGGGTCCTGCACTAGAGGGGGGCGGAGCTCCTCCCTGGGCCCGTCGGGGGGCACAGTACATCCGGAGCTCCTGCCGGAGGCGGGTCCGGCAGACCCCACAGGCTGGCAAACAGGGGTCCCGTGGTACAAGAACACCCAGCCGTGGATGGGGGAGGACCGACTGCCCACAGCACGCGTGTAGGGTGGCAGGTGAGGGGCAGAGAGCCCGCTTCTCAGAAGCAGGGGCGAGCGCGTGCAGCCTCCGGGGGCCAACCCTCGCGTGGGGACCACTGCCAAGGCCTGCTGGGAGGCCTGGCGGGCAGCTGGAGCTGAGGCACCCGTGTAGACCCCTCAGAGGGCTGTAGTCCTGGGCAACGGGCCCGTACGCTTGGCCCCGAGGGTAGCGGATTTAGGCTTCCCACTGCCACCCCCCTCCCTTTTAGACGGTAGTGGTGAGGGAGGTTGTTTTATTAGAAGTTTAACACTTGAAACGCGTGTCTTACCAGGTTTTGGAGTCAAAATGTAAACCACTCGTGTGTCGTAAGAAATGCCAGTTTCATCATTTAACACACACATTGGTCCCTGAAATTGCTGAACCCTAATAATTCACTTAGGCTCCCTGACTGAAGAGAAGATAAAGCCAAAGACCCACGAGAGAGAAACAACTCATACCTCACGTCACGTCCTTGCCATAAAAAGAGTGCAAGTCCCACTTCAGCGCTTACGGGGCCGTGGAACAAGATGTCCTTAAGCAGGACCTTCACAAAGTCTCAGCTTTTGGTGAGAGCCAGAAGTAGTAAGACTGAAGTCTGGCACCAAGTCTTCAGTGAGCGTGTGAGAAACGGCCGAAGCCATTAAAGGAGACGTGGCGATCACGCCTCACACCGAGAGCTAACACGCAGTCGTCGAGATGAGCCCAGAAGGCGGCTGAGGAGACGCTGGGCAGCCACAGGGCAAATGGCTGGAGCGGAAGCCGGGACCAGAGAGGCTGTCGGCCGTGGCACGGGAAGGGAAGATGAAAACTTTGTCGGAGAGGCCGGGAGACGCAGAAGGCAGACATGTTCAGATGCTCCAGAAGGAAAGACAAGAGAATGGGGGAAGGGTCATGTGGCAAAAGGATTTTCTAGAATCTGATGGAAACTGACCCAAGTTTTGAATAGCATAACTAAAAATAAACGTATACCTAGAGATGCTATTAAAAAAAAAAACACCCAAACATAGCAAAGACATGTAGCAGGGACACCAGAGACTGAAAGTGGCAGAGAGAGGAGCACGTTCCAGGAGCGACAGCCAGACAGTCAGACTCCTCCACGTGTGACCCACGGCCAGAAGACACGGCACAGAGTGGCAGGTGGTAGCCCCCGCTCCACAATCGAGCACCACCGAGGAAGCAGAGTGAGCTTCAGAAGTGACCTGCGAGACGCAAGCAGGTGTGGTGTGCATGCGAATCCATAGTGGGCACACCTGTACGGGTCTGGCCGCCTGGCACCGTGGGAACCACGGTGGTGATTGCTGGGCAGGAGGGGCTGTGGTGTCAGGGGCAGGGCAGGCTGACGGCCCCAGCGGGGTTAGAAGTGGTGGCACGGAGCCATTGCGAGCTGCTTGTTTTGTGTGGATGCGGGGGTGAGGTCTCACCAACTTTCCACTTTGGCAAAGTATACATGTTAAAGCTACACTGAAAATTACTAAATGAATAGAAACAGAAGGTGTGACTTCCAAGTCGTCGACTGAGTGGAAAGGAGCATGAGGAAAGTAGACAGTGAGGTAGGAGGGGGGTAAAAAGAGAAAAGAGGGTAATTAGAAAGCATGGGTTTAGCTCAGCTGGTTGTGTGCCCAACTCGTGATTTCAGCTCAGGTCATGATCCCAGAGTTGTGGGTTCAAGCCCTGCATCAGGCTCCACAATGAATGTGGAGGCTGTTTGGGCCTCTCTGTCTCTGTCTCTCTCTCTCCTTCTACCCATCTCCTCTGTTTTTTCTCTCTTAAAAACAAAAAACCATGCACGGGACGCAAAAATACACGTGTGGCAATGATCACAATAAATGTAAATGGCTTAATTTATAAGACTAAGGTTTAGACTGGCTAAAATACAGGAACCGGATATAAAAAAAAATTTTTTTTTAACGTTTATTTTTGAGACAGAGAGCATGAACGGGGGAGGTCCAGAGAGAGAGGGAGACACAGAATCGGAAGCAGGCTCCAGGCTCTGAGCTGTCAGCACAGAGCCCGACGCGGGGCTGGAACTCACAGAGTGCGAGATCGTGACCTGAGCCGAAGTCGGACGCTTAACCGACTGAGCCACCCAGGCGCCCCAGGAATCTGATCTGAAGCTCTGTGACTTATGTATTAAGAATGAACTAGAGGGGTGCCTGGCCGGCTCAGTCTGTGGAGTACGGGCCTCTCTGATCTCGGGGTCATGAGTTCAAGCCCCATGTTGGGTATGGAGATTACTTTAAAAAATTAAACAAAAAAAGGAAGCAGAAAGCTTGTAAGTGTACTAGAAAATTAAAAACTTAGTAAAGGCTAGTGCAGAGAAGGCTGTTCGTAGTACATTAGCATCAGATAAAGTAGACTTTGAACAGCCACAGCAGCCAAGGAGGAGGCCTTAGTAGGGTCCTCACTCCCCTGCTTACTGGGTGCAGTTGTGGGGGTGGAGGAGACCCAGGGACTCAATGCGTATCTAACAGCTTGGAGAGATCTTAAAAGAAGGTCAATGAAGAAAACGGGAGACAGGAGCGGACCCATGGTGCAGCAACAGGAACCTGTAAACATTAAAATGCATGTAGGACTGTGGTAGGAGAGGGTGGCTGCTCGCTCCCAGAGCAACAGCAACAAAAAGTATATGGAGTGCGTCTTTGGTGGGGCCTGGAAGTGCCTTTGTCAGAAGAGACGAAGAGCCGTCTGCAGGTGGCACCTGCTGGGCAGCAGCACTGAGTCTCGGAAGGGGGCAGCGGAGACGGGAGGTGTGGGGGCTCCTGGGAGGCAGGAGTGACGGGCTTGGGAAGGGCCGTCTTCCGAGAGAGACAGAGAACGTGCCCGAGACAGAGCACGTGGCGCACACTCCCTGAGTCCAGCTGCTGCGGGGCCCCGGCGCCCTCCGAGCGGGGTGGTGAAGGGACCACAGGAGCCGCCTGTGGTGGAGAGAAGCCACTGGGACGGCTGCTGTCACAAAGCACTGGACTTGAGAGAGTGAGGAGTCAGAGGAGGCCGGACGGCAGGCAGAGCTGAGTCGGGAACGCAGGGGGCGTGGGGTGGAACAGGAGGAGACCGGCATCTCCCAGCAGAAGCTTCAGCTGCCCGGAGCGCGTGGGAGCGCGGGGCAGACGTGGGACAGACGCGGGGACTGAGCAGGACGCGGTGGGGAGAGAGCGGGGAAGGACGAGACCAGCACAACACAGGGCACGGGCCGAGGACAGTCTCTGCGTGACCACGGGCGCTCCGGACACCGGAAGGAGGTGAAGACGGTGCTGTGTTTCCGGGAAATCCATCCAGAATGGCCAGCGTAGGAAATATTGTATCAAAATTATGGGTGTGACAAAACCTTCTGGTAGCCAGACGAAGACACTGAATTGCGTACCAGGGAAGAGAACGAGGCCGGCTTGCCAGCTGTGGACACAGAGCTCCGCGCCTGAGCACAGAGGGTCAGCTCCCACACGGTGTTCAGGAGAAGAGAGGGCCAGAGACCAGAGACCCTGCGGCCAGCTGAGCGGTTCGTCAGGGGCAGCGGCTACAGGGTAAGAGGCTCGAGTGTGAGGCGCGGAGCCAGGAGACTGTCCGGGAGCACAGCGTGCTTGGGGTATCGTGCCCAACGCAGGGAAGGGCAGCCCAGGTCACCTCTGGTGGGAGCCGGGGATCGGAGCCGGTAACTCCCAGAGGGAGACCGAAGGTGGCCGAGCGGTGCTGGCGAGGTGGGGTCACTGAGGCCATGGTGGCAGACCCGTGGGTGCCACACACGGCTGGAGATGCCGGGCTGCTTATAAAGGGTGGTCGGGAGGACAAAACTCCAAATTGCCAACAGGACGGGGAAAATTGTAACGAAATCCGCATTACTTCGCGGTGAAAGGCTTAAGAGGCCTGCATGCAAACAGAACGGGCTGGTACGTTAGACTTGTGCACGGCGTATCGTCCTGTCTGTAAACAGGGAATTGAATTGACTCGCCTGTTTAAAGATTCCCCGAGTGCCCCGTAAAGCAAAGCCTGCTTCTCTGCTGTCCGTAGAAAGAAAGATTCTGAAAGCTGGAGTGTAAAGTCGCGTGCGGGGCAGGCGGCCCCTGTCAGGTGAGGTCGGACTCCGGCCCCACCACGTCCGGGGGCTCAAAGGAAGGCCTCGATGGCGGCAAGGACCCCTTCGTGCAGAGCGCGTGCCCGGCGCCACATCCCTCGTGCGGCAACAGGGAGGCCAGGAGAGGCTGGGGGAGCCGGTCTGCCATGCGTCCGCCTCCGAGGCAGAGGGAGGGGCCCTGGACAGACAGAAAGAACACGGTTAATGAGGGAACTGAAGTCAACGCACAACTTCAGCAGTTAGCAAACAGCACAAGTAAAAAGCCACGTCCGTCCCCCTCCCCCCGCCCCCACGGTCCCCAGTACTTTCCAAAGACACA